CTTCCCTGAAGGCTATGTTAGCCAGGAAACATTAGGCGAAAAGGAAGAGCTAGGAACCCAGGGAGGAGAGTCACAACAGCCTCAAATTGATCCTATTATCGATCAAGGCCCTGCTAAAAGAATGAAGTTCTAAGCTCATCAAGATTGTTTCTTCATCTCCGCTTGTCGATAATAGAATGTTTAGGTATTAGCAAAGACCTTGCTACTTTTTCTCATCTCTTAATTTTGAACTCATTACACAATTGTTGACCTGATTATTACTAGTTCTCATAACTTTTTTTGCTAAAATGATCTCACCGCAACTATTTATCTCAAGGTCAACTATTTGCAATAATTGCACCATGTATTCATTTTTTGATATCTATCGGGTGATAAGGAATTGACAATTACCGTGTGAACTCAAAAGATAGCTGCATCATGAAAACGAATGGCTTATTTTTGTCAATGTTATTCGTAACTAGATTTGATCACTGTCATTAATTTATTGCTAAGTCTCTACTTGGCTAACTTGTTGCAGTTTACTTCCTCTCTCTCCCCAGCTATATAAACATCTTCTCACCATGGTTTCAAATTTCAACAGCAAAATAGATTTAGTTCAAGAACATTTTCCCACACATCAGAGAGCTGCAATGGAAACTGGGTCATCAAGGTCCAGCATCCTCCTATACGTTCTTGTTCTTATGCTGGTCTTGTCTCCAATGCTTCCATGTCAAGCAGCTAGTGTGCCTCTAGGAGGTAAGCTAATTAAGCTCTGAGTTTCCCCATCTTCGATATCACTCTTTGTTTCGGTTTTTTTAGAATCTGGAAATGATGTCTTCATGGAAAGGTGGAGGGCGTAAGCTGATGGCACCCTCACCACCACTTCTCATGTGTCCACAGTGTGAGTGTTGCGCACCGGCTCCACCGGGTTACTGCTGTCCGTGTCGCTGTCCCGGTGATCCCTAAAGATTGTGACTTTGCTATTTAGATGGATTAATGTGATGTGTTTGATATCTGTGTAATAATAATCTTTGTATGTTTGAATAAATAAAGGGATATTAGCAAGGATAACCAACAAATATTCTACTAATTTTAATGATTATAGTTTTGCCACACATAAGGCAATTTTAGCTAGTTTTTAAATTATTAATTTTTTTGGTTATCTTCCAAATTAACCCATAAATAAACAAAAACTGCACTCTCGAATAAGAAAAATTTTGGGTTCAGTAATTTAGAAAAAAATATTTTTTCAACACTCATAAATAGATAATGGCTTATAAAAAAAAATACATGATGGTTTTCTTTTCCAGGCAACAAAATTAGCATAAAAGTCATAGCAACAACATTAGCATAAAAGTCATAAACCAATAAACTATAATGTCTCTGTCTTGGTCAAATTCTTGATGATTTAATATGCAAAATGACCATGAATTGGAAACTCTTTAAACAAATAACTATAATTTCTTTCAAAATGAACAAAAAAACTTTAAAATCATACGCGCAAATTACTTACTATTTTGTTGATATTTTATAGTAATATTGGATTGCCTAGGTTTGGCGGAGAATAAAAGTCAACTGTTTTCTTGTGTGACAAGAAGTCAACTATATATTAAGCTCGATATCCATTACTCCGATGTAGATGCAATGCAACTTTGACTAAAAATTATTTGAATATATTTTGATTCAAGAGTCTACGGATAACTAGTTGAATGCAATATTATCTACCGTCGAAAATATCGATAATGAGTCATATGACACGATGATATACTTCAAGCCTTCAATTACTAGAGACAAAAACTGTTTAATAGTATCGTATCTCTGAATTTAAACATCCTCATAAAAAAAAGTTATTGATGAAGACTCCAGATTTTTAAGAGTTGTAAAAATTCCATGCACAAAAGCTTTGAATACATTATCT